CTACGAAGGAAAACAAAATAAGGAAACCAGGAGCAGAGTAAAAAATTGGGGTAAACTCTAAAAGGTGGGAGGGAAATGGCATTTGGTGAGTGGAGAAAAGAGCGGATAGAATCAACAGCATTCCTTCCCAAGGGAGCCGGGAGGAGCTTGGGGGTGGGAGCCCGCAGGGAAGGGCTGTGTGGGGGCGTCACTGGGATTAAGAGAGATGTGCTGATTATTGCTGTGCTACAAATAATTAAAACTGTAAAACAATGACAATATTTATAATGCTTACAAATCTGCAATTTACACAGAATTCAGTGGAGGCCGCTTGTGTCTGCTGCTGTCAGCACGGGAGCAATTCAAGGACAGGGGCTGGACCACCCGGGGCCCCTCAGGTGTCTCCATCCCTCTGTGGTTTCTCCAGATGGTCTCTTCAGTGTGGAGGCTTCAGGGCAGCTGGGCTTCTTACATGGCAGCTCAGGGCTCCAAATGGACACGTCCTAGGAGAGAGCCAGGCAGAAACTGTATTTTCTTTATGACTTAGCTTTGGAAGTCATATGGCATCACTTCCATTGCGGACAGACCCTCCCCAATTCAAGGGGAGGGAACATGGATTCTACCTCCTGATGGACCAGTGTCAGCATCACATTATTAGGCAAGTGTGTGAGAAGGAACATATTCGTGGGGCCATCTCTGAAAAACACAAACTGCCACAAATTGCATTTAGACCAGCTGGACCAGATAAGTAAGGAAAACCAAAAACAGTGAAGAAAAGGATCAAGATGAACAAACAAAACAACTGACCCAAGAAGGAAGAAAAACAATTCAGAAAACACAGATTTAATATTTTTTAATAAAAACTAATTAGGATCATCAAAATCATTTGAGACTATTTTACATTCATTCACTAATATAGGCTGCTATGAAAAAGGAATAAGCAGAATAAAAGAATATGACCAAAATAGCCAAAATTAAACACTGAATGGACTGACTGAATAGTAGAGCAGATGGAGGTGAGGACCGAGGCAGCAACCTAGAAGGCAATCTTGAATAAATCCCTTATGATGTAGAGAAAAATCAAAGAATACAAAGAAAAAAAAGAATAACTTTTTAAAAGTTAAAGTTGGTCTTTACGCAAAGGAATTGAAAACTTATGTCCATGCAAAAACTTGCACAGATGTTTATAGCAGTTTTATTCACAATTGCCAAAACTTGGACACACCCAAGATGCCCCTCAGTGGGTGAATGGATAAGCAAACTGTGTTCCACACAGACAATGGAATATTATTCAGCGTGAAAAAGAAATGAACTATTAAACCACGAAAAGACATGGAGGAAACATAAATGTATATTACTAAGTGAAAGAAGCCACCTGAAAAGGCTGTATACTGTATCATTCCAACCCTATTACATTCTGGAAGAGGCAAAGCTATAGAGACAGTAAAAAGATCACTGGTTCCAAGGGGCTGGGGGAGAGGGAGGGATGAATAGGGCGGAGCACAGAGGATTTTTAGGGCAGTGAGAAAACTCTGTGTGATATTATAATACTGGGTATGTGTCATTCTACATTTGTCCAAACCCACAGAATGTGTACCAAGCATGAATTCTAAGGTGAACTATGGACTCTGGGTGATTATGACATGTCAATAGTGTAGGCTCATCGATTGTAACCAAAGCACCACTGGTGAATGAAAATGATACTGGCGGAAGCTACTTAAAAAAAAAAGTTAAAACACATGGAAGATAAGTCCACAGGGTCCCAACTTCTGTACTAGGACTATTGGGAACAGATAGCAGAGAAAAGAGAGCAGAGGAAAGAATCTCCCCAAACAGAAGAAAATGTCCTCAAGATGAAGAGCGGTGTGACCCTTTGGAAGTCTAAAAGGCTCCTGAGTGCTCAATAGGATGAATAAAAAGAGGCTCACAAGTAGAAACATAGAGTTGAACTTTCTGAATTCTAAGGATAAAATGGAAAGAAAAAAATTCTTCAAGAGATACTTAAATTCTTTGCTACCAGAAAGAGAAAACAGGTTCCCTGCAAAACAAAGACCCACACTGGCACTGGACTCCTTGTCAGTGATGTAATTATGAATGAAACAATTTTGATTCTAGATTTCTCCACACAGCCACCATGAATCAGGCAACACAAGATATATTTGTACATGCTAGGATGCATGTACTCCCAATTTAAAAATAAAATTCTAAAAGAAATACTCAACTACAATGAGATACTACTATGCATACACCAAAAGGGCTAAAATGAAAAGACTAAAACTATCAAGTGTTGGTGAAGATCTGGAGCCACTGGAATGCTCACATGTCACTGGTGTGAGTAGAAAAGGCTACAACCACTGTGAAAAAACCGTATGGCACCTTTTTATAAAGTTCAACGTGTACTTACTCTACAGCCTAGGAAATGCACACAGAGAAACGAAAGCAAGTGTACACGAAAAGAGAGACTTGCACACAAATGCTCATAGCCGCTTGATTCATACTAGCCAAAATCTAGGAATAATCCAAACTCCCATTAATAGAGGAATGGAATGACAAATTTGGTATGTTCATGAAATGGAACTCATATGTAGAAGAGAACAAACTACGGATACCCACAAAACCATGGACAAATCTTGAAAACACGTTGAGCTAAAGAAGCCAGACAAAAAAAGAGTACATCGGTCTTGATCCGTTTAAATGAAGTTCTAGAAGAGGCCAAAATAAGTAACGGTGATAGAAGTCGGAATAGTGGCTACCTGGGAGGAAAGGGGGATAATGGACTACATAGGAGCAAGAGGGAGATTTCTGGAGTGATGGAAACATAGTATAGCTTTTTTTTTTTTTCAGACCCTTCCTTTTTTAAAACAACATGGTATGTCTTGATCTCAGTGGTGCATGCATATGTAAAAAGCCATCCAGCGGTACACTTACGATTTGTGTATTTCTCTGCATGTCAATTATACTTCCATAAAGTACTATTTGCTGAAAGAAAAAAGAAGAAATCAAGAGTTAAAATTCACCAGTTTCAGTGACTGGCTATAAGAAGGGTGAGAGATGGGAGCGCTGAGTTGGACACTCCAAGATGATTCTCAGGACCCTTCAGGGTTATGAGCTGAGACTGAGAAATGAAGGGGCGTGAGCGAGGGCCTCAGAGCTGGAGTTCTCAGTCCACAGCACAGGACGGAAGGGTGGGCTTTGTTGCAAGAAATGCCTTACCACCAATAACGACTACAGTTGTGAATGGTCTAAGGTTTTTAAATCAGCTAGTGTGAATTTTAGATTATCCCTATAATGAAGGCATTCTAACACGCTTACATGCCAATGTATGATCTCTGATGCAAATCAAGGGGTGATGTTCAGCCAGAAAAACAGGAATGTCATCACCTGCAGCTTATCTACGGCACAGTGATCTCCTGGAGAGATTAAAGCACTCACATGCTTATAAGACACCTTATGGTTACCAGGCAAAAGAATAAACCAAAGTCCAAACAATACAATCATTGGGATGGGAGACAGTCCAGCAAAATGAAAAAGAAATTCAAGAAAGAAGATAGGGCAAGATAAAAAAGCAGTGGTGTTTAAGCATGACCCAGAAGAAGAGAAGAAAGCCAGGACACAAAGAAGGAAGACAGCCTTGGACAATGATGCTCAAGATGCCTCCTTCTCACGTGGCTGAAGCTTAAGGGCGTAAGGTAACATTTGCTTCTCATTGGATCCAGTCAGACTAATTGGCTCTGTGGAAAATTGTAATTACATAAGCATAATATTATAATAGTTTTCTTAAGTTTACACTTTTAGACTCAATCTTTAGATGAATAAGGATTATAATCTTGCCAGTAAAAGAAACAATGAAAATAATGATAGCAGGGTGGGGATGAGAACCGGATGGAAATTTTTTTTTTTAAAGATTTTATTGGGGAATTAGGGGAGGGGAACAGCGTTGGGGAATTGGGGAAGGGGAACCGACAAGTTGCTGTCCTTTTGTTCTTCAGTCTAGTTGTGGAGGATGTTGCTTCACTGGCCCATATTGGTATTATCATTGCGCTCTTTCTGGGTGGGGCAGATGAGTCGCCGGCCACTGGATGCCGCTCACAGCAGCTCTTGGCAGTTCATGCTGGCTGTCAGCCACTCATGGTAGCTTTATGGCGGCCCACTGCAGCCTCACTGCAGCCTATGCCATTGCTGGCGACTCATGGCAGCCCAGCTCCAGGTTGAGCTGTTGTTGACCATCTTAGCTGTAGAGGGCAGTGTCACTGGCCCTAATGTGGGATCTGAACCGGGACCCTGCTGCTCAGAGCTGGCGTCCCAAGCCAGCTCTTAAACAACGCACCACACGGCCGGCCCCCAGATGGAAATTTAATGTACTCATTTGCACTCCCTTACACAGAGGAGTGTCAATATATAGCAGTGTAAGTTTCAAAAATAAACTGAGGTTTAATGATATTATTCTAGGTCATAAAGATCACCATTATAAGAATTAAAAATAACCCTAAAGGAAGAGTGGTGGACATACAGGCCATAGAGAAACTGTGCCGAGTTTGTCAACAACAGACGCCATCTAGGTCTGAGAAAGCAACACATGACTATGCTATTTGAAATAAACGTTGACTACTTGTAGAACTTAAAAAACCATTTTTAAAAATCTCTAGGAGTGAGTGAAGGATTCAGAGTGGGACTGGAAGGTGGAAATTTTAACTTTTTAGTCTCTTCTGGAGGGCTAAAATTGGGAACCTGATGGGGCAGGATATTACCTTTATTTTTTGTTTGTTTGCAGTGGCTGATGGGAGAGGCAAAAGCCTCCCCTACCCCCCGCCCCCCGCACCTCCTCCTCCTCCCTCCCTGTACCCCATCTCCCCTTCCCTTTGGTACCTCCTGAGCCTGTCCGTTTCCTTTTCTTCAGCTTTTGTAAATGTAGTCAGGATTCAAACCACCAAGGTTGCCATGTGACTGTCCCTGAGACCACACGAGGAAACTCCCTATCTGAGGGGTTAGAAGCCTGTGAAGCAAGTCTGAAGGCTGGCTGCCTGCTTTATAAAACTGCTCCCAACATCCCTTGTTGGGGGTGCCAGGGAGGACCAGAATGAGGACCATTTGCATCTCTATCGCTCTAAGGAAATAGTTTAAGAATTCACAGCTACTAGAAAGTTAATAATAACCAAGGCATTAATGTTAGTCAGTCTTCCATCTCTGCCACTTTCTACTCCCCTTCCCCCATCAGCTTCCTGTTTCCATGAAGGGACTTCCTCTAAAGCAAGGTTCTCTATCCTGTGGATAAGGGGGTGCATTTGGACATACAGGAGCATATTTGGGCTGTTGAATAGCTAACCCACGATTCAAGGATGCTGAAGATCTTACAGTGTGTAGGATAGTTTGACCAAGAACTGTCCTGACCAACATATCACTGGCAACCATTAAGAAACACCCCCACGGGGTGACACTCCCGCCTCTCTGCCCCCTCCTTCCCAGTTCTAGGGAAGGGGTGACCTCTCTGATTGGTGGCTTTGGGAGAAGGAGTGAGCAGGGTCTGTTCTCTTGGGGACACGCCATCCTGAAGAGAGGAGAATTTGGACCTGCTCTGCCCTGGACTGTGAGAAGACCTGGACTCCATCCGTACCTGAGCCTGGGTGTAAGGACCTGGCAGTTCCAGTGGAGGGTTTCCAAGTTGCGGTCTGCAGTCACCTTCATCAGTAATAGAGATGACATTTGTCTGTCTCCTGTGTCTTGTTTTCCAGTTGTTTTGAACTGGGAAGGGTATCAGGAATGCTATTTATTGGCTCCAAGATTTAAAAAAGGAGTTTGAGAGACTTCAGAGAAAATCCTGCAGGATGTAAATGTCAATAGACTTCAGATTTTCCAGTGATTTTAAATCTAAAAATTTCCATTACTTGGAATGACTTATGTTATTCACATGGATTTCAGGATATTGAAATGCTATTTTTATTTTTAAAATTATACCTAGCCTAACTCTAAAACAGATTGGAGGCTGCTTTTTTTTTTTTTTAGTGCATACTATTCCACAAGATTTCTTCCTTGCTTAAAAATGTACTAGAGTAGGGAAAATAAAGGTCCAATAATGAGATAAGCTAAGGAAGTGTCAGTACACAGACATGCACCCTCTCTAGTTTGTACCACGATTGAAGGCAGGCAGCGAAGTTAGCAGTAGACTTCCAGGTAGCCAAAGCAAAACAAACAAACAAACAAACAAACAAACAAATAAACACACAATTATTTTCCAGACTGATTTTTCCCATTGAATATAAGGTTAAAATAGATTTTACCTGATTACACACACACACACACACACACACACACACACACACACACACACA